TGATGCTTTGTTCTTTGCGATTTGATCCTGATTTTATAGTGGATCATCCGTTCCTCTTTTTTATTTATAATACTAAAACTAACCTTATCCTGTTCACTGGAAGGGTTGATGAACTGTAGAAGTGACCTTTTTATACAGGTAAAGGATAGCATAGCTACCAAGAAATTCGGAAACTAGACAAAATACTCATACGTCTCATCTCATATTATGAACGCATTGAGATTGAAGGCATGAATTTTATCTGCCTGTTTGCCTTTTGTTGCTGTTGTTACAAAAACTACAAGAAAATGTAAATGAAATAATTATTTTTTTCGAAGAATTGATTTTATTTTTCTTGTTGAAATAAACTTTTTTAAGCTTAATTTTCAGCTTGGTGTTGTATATGTGTATATTTAGTTATATTTACTAAAGTCACTTCAAATAAAATAATATATATATATATATATATATAACCTCTAAATAATGAACATCTAACTGTGTATTCGCTTAATCATTCAAAATAAAGTTTCAGATAGGTAAAAGTGTGCTTTCGTGATCATGTTAATTTATCATAACAGAGTTCTCACGATTACGTTTCAATGAGCAAATTTCAAAATTGTCAAATGGGAACTTTCACTTTTTTTAATCGAAATGTTCTCATAACAATATAAAGCAAAAAGTGAAAGAAATAAAACAAAAATGCTCTCTCAATAATTTTTAGCTTTTCCCGCTTGTTAGTTATTCAACTCCAGTTAGTGTACTCTCAAAACAATGGGAAGAAAAAATAACACATTTGTAAACTGTTTTTTATTATCATCTTCCCAGTCTAGTGTCACCAATACCCGTGCTAAAATTGTCGTTTCCACTCAATATTAATTTGTTTATTGTGAGAATCACGTTTTGACGAAATATTAAGGGGTGTTTTTTAAAAATTTCGAAGTTTATTCTTTGTACCAGTATTTTTGAAAACTCATTTGTTCTATATCATCTTTAGCTCAATTATAATCTTCTGCACAAATATCACTGCATATCATTTTATTCCGATTGGCCTAGCGGAAGGAACACTAGAGTTGCATATGCTGTAGAATTTTTTATGACTATCTTAAATATTCCAATTAAACCATAAAATTTTCTTTCCTTCAGAACTATTCTTACTGGATGCTATTTTTTTCGCATGCGAATGATATCCATATAGGTGATAAATATTTATCTGCGAAAAACTCGCCTATTAATTGGCATTCGAAAAAAATCGCACCAAGTGTAAAAATTTCGCAGGCAGAGCTTCGATGGCTCAAAGGATAGTGAGCTCACCTTTAAACTTGGTCTTCATGTACGCAAATGCGGATTAATACCTTCATAAAAGTCCTCCACGAAGGCTAGTTAGCTAAAATGTTTGATCCAGAAGTTTTAGATTAGGTTCAACATAGCAAGACTACGGAGTTGACATCGATAGTTCTTAACCTAAAAATGGACCAGCTGATTATAAAATGTAATAAAATTTTGTAGGAAAATTTTATATTTTAAAATTATTAAAATATTTTGTAGAATCGTCATGAAATTTTCTGGTAACTGTAATATTCATTTCAGAACTTAATTTATTATAACTTAACTTAGCGTTAATTATGTCGAATAAAGAAATTGTTACAGACATGCTGTATGCAATTCAAGAATATCATGTAGTAATTTTGTACTTAATCTACAACATCTCATGCTTAAAAAAAACATTATTTCTCCCTAAAGTTATGAAATGCATTGAAAATCATACGTAATAAATTTAAGTTGTCGAAAGTTTTTTAGCAACTCCAATAACAAAATTTGTAAATGCTTGCTTATCGTTGTTTTTAGTATATTATTCTCTTTCTTGTTCAAAAATTGAGGTAAAATAAAGGTTCTGAATAATTTCCAAACTAAAGGTTTGCTAAAATACCGTAAAATTTGAGTTAAATTAAAGAGCTTAGAGCAGGGATCCCTAACCCTATCCCCGCGGGCACCATGGCCCCCATCGATCGGTCAAGGTGCGCCCGCTGCTTGTGCCCAACGATAAAATACAATATTTCAGTTTTCTATTTTCCCATTAAATGATATGCAAAAATTAATGTGATAAATTACTACAATTGTTACGCGTAATGAAAATTATTACCGAAATAGTTAACTTAATTCTAGCAGCTCCTTTGCAACTTCGACTTTTCAAGGTACTGTTACAAAATTCTGATGATGCTGACTTCATTTTACATACTGAAGTAAGCTGGCTCAGTAAAGGCAAAGTACTTGATAGATTTATACATTTAATCGAAGAAATAAAAAATTATCTTGCAGCCAAAAATCAAATATTTTTAGAACTAGCAGATCCTCTCTGGCTAGGAGATTTGTCTTTCGTAACAGATATAATTGAAAAACTAAATAATTTAAACTTGGAGCTGCAGGGAAAGGACAAACTTATAGCAAGAATGAGAATCTATGCACTCGTTCAGAACAAAGTTAGTTTTCTGGATATCACATTTGAAAATAAAGTCTCTTTTGCATTTTCCAAACATGAAAAAAAATGATAGGTGACAGTGAAATTGTCTTATTACAATTGTCATCAACCTCCAATTGCTTTAAGATCAATCTGAAAATCGCTTTTAACAATTTAATATCATCGAGCCTATGGTCACCTTTTCTGTAAATCCTTTTACCATCAAATATACGTAACCGAAATAGCAATATGCATTTCAGAATGTCTTAAAGTTAGGCGAGAAGAAGTGGAGATAGAAATTTTGGATCTTCAGAATGACATTATCCTCAAAACGATTATATCAGATGAGAAATGCTGGAATATAATTGACAGAAATAATTTTCCATTCTTAAAAAGAGCAACATATAAAACAAAGTAGTTTTGTAGTTTCACATACTTGTGGGAATCATTGTTTTCGAGAATGAATTCAAAATACTATAGATCCCGATTTACAGATGAACACCTTGACGATTGCTTGCAAGTAGGAATTTCCTCATGTTCTCCCAATTATGAAGTGATGGCCAGTGAAATGCAATGACAAAGATCACATTGACTATATTTTATAAATAATTTTTATACTTCGTATGTTTTGCAAGCAATTCAGTAATCATTTATTTTACACAAGAATATTAATACTAATTATATTCATATGTTAAATCAATTTTTAAAATTAAATTTTGTGTTCGCTATATGTGGTGTTTGTATTATTGCCTATGTATACCAACTATAAATTTATCTTGAAAAAACAAATGGTTCCCGCCATTCAACCGATATTCTGGTATTTGCTCTTAGGTACAAAAAGGTTGGGGACCCCTGACTTAGAGCATTAAAATGATAGGCCACATATTTTTCGAAAGGGGACATTTGTACATCAAATTTATAATCTTTAGAATTATTTCCATATATATACTGCACAGTCGTCCTAAGTTTTCAATTTCAACGGCATATTATTGCCTACATGGAAATCGTGGTATTTTTCATGAAAAAAGCTCTCCTGAATATTTCAAAAATGTGGATTAGTATTGTATTGCTACAGGCGTTTTACTTGAATTAGTAACATTACGTACCTAAAACTTTGAAAGCACTTTTCACCCCGAATACCTTTATTTCTTTTGATTTCAATTGTTAAGAGAAAATTCTATTGGATTTTGAGCCACAAAAGAGGAAGGAAATTACAGTTTCATGCACCCTCTATTAAGACAAATATTATTAGGTTGTGAGCCACAACATAAAAATTTGATTTTTCAATTCATCGACATAAATGAATAAACTGTCGAAAGTAAATTAGGTTATTTAAAAAATTTATTGATAAAAAAATTTTAACCCTTATTTTAAACAAATAAACTTCCATAATAAATTTCAGAAGAAAATATTTTTAAAATTTTTGATAAAAATGAAATATTATTTGAGAATATTTAGGTGGTGAGTTTAATTGTAAATTGCGTATTAAGTTTTCAACAAACTTGATAATAAGATGCCCGAAATTTGTTATAACTAAACCTAATATATTTGTATATTCATAAATGTACGTCATTCTCTATGTTATGTTGTATCCCTCTCAATTTAGAGGATTTATATTTATTTAGCGGATTACAATAAAATGTGTACCTAAACGTAATAATACTTCTTGTTTAATATTAGATAATAAAGAGAACTGAATGATGATCAGGAAAATGACCGAATGCACAAAATATAATATTTTTGATATCTAATAACTCACTTGTAAAAATAATTGTGGTTATGTCTCTAGAGCTATACTTAACCAAAAATTGAAAAAATCTCACCTATCTAGCAAATCAAATTCTGATCATTTCTTTTCTAAATCGTTGTATTTTCTAGAACAACAATTAATTAGGAATTACTCTGTCTTTTAGATGTTAGAGGATCTTTTTATGCCACTCAAAATGCATAAAAATCGATATCCATTAAAATATTTCAAAAAAGGAATGTATTGTTTGCTTACTTAAATTTAAAAAAATATATATTTGCATGTGTGCACCAAAAAGCTATCATAAACAATTTAAAAAATTAAATTAAATTTAATTTTTATTCTACTTTTGATATAAAAAAAATTAACGTTTTCAACGCCATTTAAATTTTTAACCAGAAAAAAAAACCTGAAAGCATTATACTTTTTATTGCATTTTGCAAGTTACATATGGTATGAGAACAAAAAAAGATTATTTTCTTTAAATAATTACTTTTAAATAATTTCTTTTAGATAAAAAAAATTCTTCTGCTTAGCAAAGAAATATTAATAAATTATAGCCATAGATTAGCTTTAAAGATGCCTCTTTTGTTCTTGTTTTGTGATATGTCGATTCAATATGACACGTAAAAAGCATTGTAATTATTTAAAGTTTGAAATTGATGACATTTAAAAGCAAAATGCCATTTTTTTTAATTTATTGTATAGATAAAGAAGTGTGGACGTGCACCTTCTTATTTTGAAAGCCACTGCATTTAAAATATATTTTCGAAATAATTCATATTGCGAAATAATTATGAAAAACATTTTTTTTCCTAGGAAGGGACATGTTGCGACGCAACCAATGCAACTTCTCTTGCTGTAGCAGTTAATAATTTGGGGTTTCAACTCGGCAAATTACTGGCAAAAGAAGACGCAAATGTTTTTATTTCTCCCCTCAGCATCTCAAGTGCTTTAGCTATGGCCTTCTGTGGAGCAAGAAATGAAACTGCTCAAGAAATGCGGCAAGTCCTCGGTTATGAAATAGCCAGCATTAAGAACGAAGAAGTCAAGCACTGTTTTCTGCATCTTTTATCAGAGATGGAACAAATTAAAGATTCCTGCACTTTAACAAGTGCTAACATTGTTTTTAGTCAAGATGGATTCCCTCTCACCGAAGATTTCGTTCAACTTCTTGAAGATTCATTCAAGGCCATGACGCTAAATGTTGACTTTTTGAATGAATCAGATAAGGCTGTTCAACAAGCTAATAATTGGGTGAATGAAAAGACCAATGGAATGATTTCAAATCTACTTGATTCCCTCGACCCAGCCACAGTGATGGTTATTTTGAATGCAGTTTACTTCAAAGGTGTCTGGATGCTTCAATTTGACCAGGAAGATACTTATGAGCAAGATTTTTACAACAATGGTTTGGAAGTTAATGCAAAGCGAGTTGAAATGATGCACTTGAAAAAATCATTTCTGTACACTGAAAACAAATCTTTCAGCGCCATTCAGTTGCCTTATGTGGGGGAAGAAATAGTTATGTCAATTTTTCTTCCCAAAGCTCGTGATGGTCTTGATAAGCTGATGACCGACGTATCCACAGATTTCTTGCAGGCTGTTAAATCGAAAATGCGAAAAGTGAAAGTTGAAGTTGCTTTGCCTAAGTTTCGACTGGAATACTCAAAATCTTTGAAAGAACTATTTCAAACTTTGGGGATAAATCGTGCTTTTTCAACAAGTGCCAATTTTGAAGGTATAAGTAAAGCGCAAGGCTTATTGATTTCAGATATAATTCACAAGGCCGTTGTGATTGTAAATGAAGAAGGAACTGAAGCCGCAGCTGCAACTGCTGTTGTTATGGTGAAGCGTTGTTTAAGCATGGATCCTCAATTTATTGCTGATCACCCGTTTTTCTTTCTCATTTATAATTTGAAAACTGATATGACATTGTTTATGGGAAAAGTCAACGAGTTGTAACTACTATACAATACTATAAAATTTATTACGTAATTGCTATTTTTAGTATTCTAGTGCTTTTCAAAGTATAAGATTTCACTGCTGTTTTTAGTATTGTTGCATTTCATAAAAATATTAGATTCTCTGCTATTTTATACATCTGTTGTGTTTTTTACAATATAAGATTTCATTCCTATTTTTAATACTGCTTTTCGTATAAAATATGATATTCTCTGCCATTTTAGTATTATTGATTTTTAATAAAAATATGAGATTCTCTGCTATTTTTAGTATTGCTGTGCTTTATAAAATATAAGATTTCACTTCTATTTTTAATATTGTTATGTCTTCTAAAATATGAGATTCTCTGCAATTTTCAGTATTGTAGTGTTTTTTAAAGAATAAGAATCACTGCTCTTTTTGGTAATTGTGTTTCATAATATCTAAGACACTGCTTTTCAATGTAGTATATTATATGGAAAGGCTTGAGTTCTCACAAATTTCACGGATGTAGCTAATTTAACAATCTTAGAGACAAGTTTGGATTAGTATTACAATGTTTCTTTGAAAATAAGATAAATAATTTATAAATTGTTAATGTCAAAATCAACTATATGTTAAGGCTAAGTAATTAGTTCATTGATATTTTTCATGGGTTCAATAAAAATCACTGATTTAAAACATAATGATTTTACGTTACTGATTTAATAGAAAAATTATTTATAATTTAAATTCCCGAAGTAATTTTCAGATTCATGTACCACAAAAATGACCAACGAATTAAATAGTTAATTAAAGAAAAACAAAAGGAGATTTACTGTTATGTGTGATGAAAAACCTTCATTTTTTTTAGCCAAATTTCGAAATTTGTTACGAAGTTCTCCAACAAGTGGCGTTATCCAACTGAGAAAAACTGCATTTTCAGGAAACCATCATCTTCAAAAAGGTACAATGTGAGGACAAAATTAGCATCTGTAACAACACATATCTTAGTTGCAATGGATTGATATAAGACAGAATTTTTTTTTATAGTTTTATTATAGTTTTCCATCTTTTGACGCACTTTGTAGATTTTAAAAGTTCTTAAAGAAAAAAAGATTTTCATTAGGAGACCTTAGTGTGAAAAATTGCTAGTTTCATAAATACAAGATAGAATGTAGATATTTTCCCCCTCCTTTTAATTTTCTTTGAGATTTTTAAAATTGCTTGTTTTATTTTTGGACACCGGGCATAAAGTGTTAGGTAGTCCATACTTAACCCATACTCTATGGATGATGCTTGTAACACAAAAGGAAACATAAACAAACACCGTAATTTGATCCTGTCTATTTGCGTTTTGAATGCCTAAATTATCTAAATGTAACTAATTTAACGAGACCTGATGCAAACAACTGATTTTGTAGTTGTCTGAACACGTAAGTAAACAAACGAATAAATTTAAATCTAATATGATTCAGACGATATTTATTGTTTCATGCGATTCTGATAAAAAATAGTCTTTCTATAAATTATATCTTATAAAAAAATTTAGTAGTTTTTATGAGATAAAAATATCGAAACCAACGTCTAGGAATACTTGATTAAGCTTCAATCTCTAAGAATCATTGTTTTC